GTTTTATTGTGATTGCAGAGCCACGTCATTTTCTGTGGAGATTTAGTCTTTATCGTTGGTGCGAGGGATGATGGTAAATGAGGCAAAACTCCAGTAAAAGCCCCAGATAATGGGTGCTGGAGAGCAGATCCTGCTTCTGAACAGCTGCCTCACTTTGCCCCATTCGGGGTCACTGGTTGGCAGCAGCTGCCTCTGGACGCGTTAGTGTGCGAGACCTGATCCTTCCCCAGCCTCTGCCCCTTGCTCCTTTTTATTCCCCTTATTTTAACCCAAAGATTGTAAACATACTATACTGAAAAGAATAAAATAATAAATACTTCATGTTGTTCTCTTGATGTAATAAATCAACATTTAGCCATAGCTTTTTTTTTTTTTTTTTTAACTATAGGGCACATGCACTATAGACAGAAAAGTGAGAAATCACCCCTGGGGTCGGGGATGGCCATGCACAGTTGTTCCTCCTTCATTCTCCTCTCAGGATCTTGGGCACACATGTGCATGTGCATGTGCATGTGCCCAGTGTAAGTTTTAAGTCGTGGGTTCTGAGACTTGAACTGTGGTCGTCTATGTGGGAGTTCAGTGACATAACCATTACACCATTTGCTGATCCTTTAACATTGTGTTTTTTTAAATTATTCTTGTTGATTGATGTTTCTTTAATTTACTTATTTTAGCTCCTGTGTAATATTCTATCATATGAATACAATAAAATTTATTTTCACATATTATTTTTCATTTATTTAATTTTATTTATTATTACTAATTTTTGAGAGGTTTTTGCTATAGGGCATGTGCACTTGCCAGACAGACAGAGAGAGACAGAGAGACAGAAAGTGAGAAATCACCCCCCAGAGGGGATGGCCATGCCACAGTCCCCTCTCCTCCATTCTGCTCTCGGGGTCTTGGGCAAACACGCACACATGCCCGGTGTGAGTTTTAAGCCACTGGGTCCGGGACACGAACCGCAGTCGACTACGTGGGAGTCCAGTGACATAGCCATTATGCTAACTGCTGGTCCCACTATTTTTAATTTGCTGAAGGGCACATGTGCTCACCGGAAAGATAGATAGAGAGAAAGTGAGAAAGCAAGTCACTAGGTCCAAGACTCAAACAGCAATCCGTCATGTGCAATCCATCCGGCACCTTAACCCCCATACCTGCTGGTCCAAGTCTATATTCTTCATAGTAAACATTAAGATGATTTTTCCCTATGATAGATCATGTTGAAGGAAGGTTTGTGCGTGACTATTTGTACAGGTGAATGAGAATTTCTCTAGGGCATGTAACTGGGATGGAATCATTTCCCTGCAGCTTTCTCAAGTTTTTGAGATAGTGCAAAATTGCTCTTCCAATAGTTGTATCTGCTTTTAGGTTCACCAAAGAGTAGGCAGACTGGCCTGAGAAGTTGTGCTCTCAAATACTTTTATTCTACTTTTTAAAAAAATGTTTTATGGAAGTACGGTACTATCACATTGTGGCTTTGATTTGCATGACTTTAATTAGTAGTGGAGATGAGTATTTTTTCCTGTTTACTAACTTTTTTTTAAAAGAGAATTTTTTCCATAGAGTGCATGTGCTTGCTGGAAAGACAAAGAGACAGAAAGCAAGAAATCACCCCTCCCCCTGGGGAGATATGGCCATACTGCAATTCATTCTCCTCACTCTCCTCTTGGGATTCTGGGCATGAATGCCTGATGTGAGTTTTAAGCCATCATGTCTGGGTCTTGAACCACATTTGACTACATGATAGTCCAGTGACAGCCATTCTGCCAACTGCTGGTCCCTATTAACTCTTTTTTTAACTGTCATCCATATCACCGATATTGCTCTTTCTGTGTGTGTTTGTGCGTGTGTGTGTGTGTGCATATGTGTGTGTATATATGTATGTATGTATGTGTGTGTATATGTGTATATACATGGTCAGAAAAGTCATGATGTATTTTTCTAAGTTGTTCTATAGTAAAATACATCATGACTTTCTGACAGCCTAATATTTCTCCCATGAATGAGAGAGCCAAGAGAGCCCCAACAGGGTCTTGACACCATGATCCACCCACACCTTCAGCCAGCCTCAGATCATGGGCTCATATATGCCCAATGTCTTCAGGAAAGTCTTTGGATGTAAACTCAGACTTCCCACATGGGTCAATATTGTAATACATTGAATTTTACCTGTGTGCTACCTTCTGGCTCACACTGATACATTTTTCTATCAAATTATTTGTCATTTTTCATTGATTTGAAAAAATTCTTTCTATTCTTTGTTTTATCCCTTAGTTCACTTTTGTCATAAGAAACATTAATTGGACATAAATATAAATTAACTTAAATAACCTAGGTAGATTTAAACCAAAATCTACTCTTTCCATTAAATGCGTCAGCATATTATCCATCTTATTTTTCAAGTTTTACTTTTGCACCCAACTTGTTTCTGACAATCATTTTTTATATTAGGCAAAAATATGAGGTGAGAGTTTATTTCCATAATCACATATTGGAAAAAAAATGATAGAACACCTCTATTGATGGAAATAACCAACTCTGCAGAAATAATAATTAATGTGGTTTATTTCTAAACACAAATGTGTGTGACCAGGCCTTAAGGAAAGGCAAGTATGCCTTTCTTGGAGCGATCAGGTATAGGGGTTCCTTTTATTTGATTTTGAGAGTGAGAGACAAGGTTTGGAATTTAGCAAAAAGAGTTCTTTCATTGGTCTGGCCCTACACAAGACGGGACATCTGGAAGTGGGAGCGTGTAGCTTATAGGTGGGTTTTACAATTTTTAGGTTGGGGATTAGAAAGGGAGGTCTGTGTTTTGGGACAGCATCAGCGAAGAATGTACTTTAAAAGAGATAAGGGGACTTGTATACCGTCACAAGACACTGTTGTAGGGACAGGATGTTGGAAGAGTGCTGTTATCAACGAGTCAAATTGTCTGTAAATGTTCGTGGGCATGACTCATCCATCACAAGGATAGTATGCCAGGGACAGGATGTAGAATGAGTCTTGTTATCAACTACACCAAAATTTGTGGGTGTGACTCACCCCAGGCCCTCTGAAAGGGATTTTGGAAATTAAAAAAAAAAAAAAAAAAAAAGCAGTCAGGCTTTTGTCCTCACCTCTGTCTTCCAAATTCAAGTGAAAATTCAGGCCTCAAAAGTAAGAAGTGTGATAAAAGTGTGACATGAAATAAGGTACAAGTTATGTGTATATATGACTTAAATTTTGTTACTGATTTAGAGTAAGCCAGTAAACTAGCTCATCTTGTGTTCAGTATCTGCTACATAATTTGCAGGGCCCAGTACAAAGTAAAAATGGAGGGCCCTTTGTTCAAAATCAAGAATTTTAAGACAGCAGCAGTAGAGCAGGATTCTGAGAACAGGATTCTATATGACTACACATGCCCCCTGAACATGACACTGGCCCTACCTACATTAATGTTTACTTATGTATTTTGTAGCCTAACTACATTCTATCTATTATCTTATGTAAGCATATGTAACATAAATAATATGTTCTTTATTGCACAATTTGCTTTCATATTTAAAAATGTGCACACAGACCAGGCGGTGGTGCAGTGGTAAAACATGATGTTCTGTGAGACAGTCCTGTATGGGAAAGTGTTGATGATAAGGAGATAGTTTGGATAGAAGTCATCCAAGTTTTCTGTGAGATAAGTAATACAAGTTCTGGAGTATACTCGCAGCGCCACATTCCTGAGAACAAGCAACAAAACATGTTTAAGTAAACAGGGATGCAAAGAGCCAGTCAGAATTGAGACTAAACTTTATGAAAAGCTAATGTAGAATAAGGACTGCTACAGGAATAAGAAGTCAGGAGCAGCAGATGGCATATCAGTTAAGTCACTGGAGTCCCATGTAGTTGATTGCAGTTTGAGCCCTGGACCCAGCGTCTTAAACTCACCTCTGTGCATGCATGCCCAAGATCCCAAAAGGAGAATGGAGGAGAAGGGATTGCAGGATTGCAGTGTGGCCATCCCCTATCGGGGGTGATTTCTTACTTTCTCTCTGTCTCTCTGGTGAGTGTATGCACCCTATAGCAAAAAAAAAAAAAAAAAAAAAAAAAAAAAAGAGGAAGCCCAGGCAGGTACACAATGCCATAAATCCTTTTTGATTACTTCCTATATGCCAAACCTCAGAAGTTGAGGCTACAGCTGGGAACAAGACAAAGAATGGATTTTTATTCAGCAGATCATATTTGTCTGTGTGATGTAGCATGTATAGTGCTAGAATATAGACAGAAAGAGTAAAAATATTCTGTGTCACTCTACATTTTTCTTCTTCCTATGAAAAGAAAAAATAGACATACAGGGGAGGCTTGATATGTCACTGAAGTACAAAACGGGCCAGGGAGGAGGTGTGATTAAACATAGAATAATTTAGAACTTGGTAATGGTCAGAAGATTTGAGCTATTGCTTAAACTCTGTAGAAAGGACTGGACTGGACTGCCAGTTCCCTTACATTCTGCTTGAAATTCAGCCTATGGAAAGCTCTTTGTAAAATTTCTCCTTGAAAATTAGAACAATAATGAGCATTAGTTGTCCACTTTATTATTTATTCTATTATTATTATTTATTGTTATTTTTAAGTTTTCTATAGGGCATGTATGCTCACCAGAGAGAGAGAGAGAGAGTGAGAGAGAAAGCAAGCAAGACACCAGGTCCAGGACTCGAACTGTGGCAGCCGTGTGGAAGTCCAATGCCTTAACCACCACCTGCTGGCCCCATCATGTTATTTCTAGATAGCTAATGATTTTTCAATTCAGATGTCTAAATTATCTTTTTAATTTTAAGCATCTTGAGTGGAACTACTTTTCGAATACTCAGCACACTAACTGCTTAAATGGAATATATACATAATGTTTATGCAGGGAATCAGAATATACTATATGAAATATGCCTTTTCTGCATAAGGATTACTTTGAGTTGATTACTTTGAGAGACAGTAGACACAGGAAACATTATAAGAACAAGTTTTGCTTGCTTGGGCAGCACATATACTAAAACTGGAACAATACAGGGATGATTAGCAGCATGGTCTCTGCACGAGGATGACATGCAAATTCATGAAGCTTCCATTTTTTTTTTTTTTTTTTAGATAGATTTTTGCTATAGGGCGTGTGCCTTCACCAGAGAAACTGAGAGAGACAGAAAGCAAGAAATCATCCCCCAAAGGGGGGGTGGGAACATGACCACACAGCAATCCCTTCTCCTCCATTCTCCTCTTAGAATCTTGGACGTGCATGCACATGTGTCTTCTGTGAGTTTTAAGCCACTGGCTCTAGGACTCGAATCATGGTCAGCTATGTGGGAGTCCAGCAATGTAACCATTATGCCATGTGCCAGTCCCTTCATTTTTTTTTTTCAATAAAAAACAAACTAAAAACAAAACAGAAATACCCTTTGGTAAAGGAAATGTGCTTCTGTAACGGAATCTCTCTTTGTAAGGGTGTTTCCGTCTCTGTACCAAGGAGAAAAGGATAACTAAATTACTAGAGACACTTACAAAATGCAAAAATATCTCAGTAATTTTAAATCATTCTTATTGTGATATAATTAAAACAATTACAAACATTTAGAATTCTCCTTTTCAATATTTTGAGCAGTAAGAATATACAGTGTAGAATTGACCAGGTTACCAGATTCAGAAAGAATGGATATTTCAATCACTTGCAGATTACTCTGTGTATTGAAATGTGCATTTAGGGGCATGGTGGTTAAGGGTACTAGATTCTCACATGACTGACCATGGTTCGAATCCTGGACCTGGTGGCTTGCTTTCTCACTTTCTTTCTCTCTGTTCCTCTCTGGTCTTATTAAAATAAATAAATTAATTAATTAAATTTAAAAAAATTCTTAAAACAAGTACATTAGTTTATATATTTTAATAGTTTGCATATAATTATGCATGAAAATAAAGTATATATAAGTAGTTTATATAAGCTTTATTTTATTGTTATAATAATGTATACTTCTATATGTTACACATTTTAAATCATAAACAACTTACATGTTAAATAGTTCACATATTTTTGTAGGTACTGTTTCTATGTTGTGTATACATATAAATATATAACTATAATATTTGAGATATGCATTATATACTATGTATTATATAGTTTATGTATTCTAATTAAATAAATTTTATATTGTGATATATACTTATAAAGAGATATTTGCTTTATGGGCCAGCCCCATAGTCCAGTGTTTAAGCACTGTACTTTGGGAGCCAGATTCCACATGGCTGACCACAGTTAGATTCCCAGAAGCTGTGGCTTGAAAACCATACTGGCCTGTGTGCATGTATGCCTACAATCCTAACAGAATGGAGAAACTGAGCAAACAGGATTTTGGCATGACTATGTTTCTTTGTGTGTGCTTTATCTCTCTTTCTTTTTTTCCCTCTCTCTCTGGTGAACACACATGCCCTCTGGTGAGCGAGAGAAAGGCTTACTTTATTTAATATTTTGCTTGGTGTAGTTTTTGGATGAAATACTGCAACAGCTTACCCATTCTAGTAAAATATCTGAAATATCTCACATACAAAGTTGTATCTGAGACATTTTTATTATTTTTGTCCGTGTTTCATTTGAACTATAGTCAAAGCCACATGGTTGTATAAAGAATCTCTAATAACTTCTGCTAAATTTTTGGATGGTTCTGTTTTATTTTTTTTCTCAAGTTCTATTTAGATAAAACTTAAAATTTTCTCTGTAGTCCTGTATAGACAGGGACTACAGAGAAAAATAAGGAGACTGGGGCTTACTACATATTTTGTTTGTAGATCCTAATCATATCGTGTAGTTTTCTTTCCTTTTGAGGCAGCACGGGTGGAATGGGAAGATATATATCTGGTGTCAGATGTAACTGAGATTAATGCCAGCTCTAATATTTTCAGAAGGTGTAGCTGTTTCAATAAGCCTCTAGAAATATGTCTGTTCAAAAGCATAGGCCTGTCCTATGTCCTAGTTTAGCCACTGTTGCTAAGGGATTAGATCTGAGTTTTCATATTTAATGTATTCTTTCTTATTCTGTTCACAGCAGACATACTTTTCCTTTGCATGAGTTTTCAAAACATAACAGTCCCAAATATGTTTAATAAGTAAAAGGATATTTATTTTCTAATGAAAAGAAAACTCACTTTTACAATAATATATGTATTGAGCAATGAAGAAAAAAAAAGATGATGATAATGAATCTATAGTTCCTGATGATGATAATTTTGAGAACAAATTATCCTTTGATCAATTATATATATTTTTATAGTGTTGGGAGACAGTCTCCCATGAATCAGTCAGTCCTTCATTGTTGCTTAATGTGTCCAAAATATAAGACCTTGAGCCCTTTTCTGAATGTGCTTTTAGGAAAGCAGCCAGGAAGATGAGTTATATACCTCTCTGGGACAAAGAGCAGGTTTGTTTACTACTTGCTGTAAAAGACATTGACTTTCTAATTTCAGTGTTTCTCTCTTATAGTGCAATTTGCTTTATGCTCAGGTATCATTTGGGACCTCTTCATCACCCTCAAGGGATGTTGGGAACAAGAGGAACTGAAGCAAACATGCTGATGCTCATGCTACCAGCTGTGCTGTGAGTAATAATGTCCCTTGTCTCTGACTCAGGAGTTTCATGACTTCTAACTGCATCAGTGAAATAAGAACAGAACATTTTAGCTCCTACGTGTAGGGTATAATTAAATATCAGACCTGTCATTAGGATGAGAATGGGATCCTGACACAGAGATGACTTTCTGGGAGAGGAAATGCAAGGTACCATGAGCAATACTCAAGGTTAGGAGCAGGGTTAGGAGATTTAATTGAAAATGCTTTTATCCAAATGGTGGGCAAAGGGGAAAAGAACAGGGGTTTCCAGTATTCCTGATGTTAATAATCCAACAAGTAGGAGTGAAACAAACTCCATAAATGGAATTAAGTTCTTTCTTATTATTCTCTTAGCAGGAGAAACAATAGAGTTAAAAATCACAGAGCAGCAAGCTCTATGGTTTTAGTGATAGAGAATGTAGGTGAAGAGTTTTCAAAGCTGATATATCGGGTCATGAGAAAAGTCATGATGCATTTTTGCATAGAAAAACAGAAAAATGTATTATGACTTTTCTGACAACGTACTGAATTGTCAACTATGAGAATGTGGTATTAAGATCTAGAACTTTAGATAAACCAGAAACATAAAGGTGTGTTTGGATTTGCATTGGTTGATTTGGTCAACTGACCCCATGTGCCAATTTTTACAGACCCTTGTCTACTGTCAATTGCAGCAGTCATTTTTATAAAACCAATGTTGCCTCTTAGGAGTAAAAAAACCTCTAAATCTCTCTTGCCTGACAGCAGCACAAAGTATAAATCAAGTTTACACCTATATCTATACCTATAAATGCCCCCAATACACCCTAAGACACTCCTAATACCCTTGACAGTTTTAAACATCACGGCTACTGACCAAGGCATATAATCGTTCTCAGAATACACAGTGCTGGACTCTTGAACAAGACCCCTAGTGGAAATTTCACTTCTTATTCACCTGAGGCTGCAGGCCTCATCTTGCTTTCTTAAACAAGTTCAAATTAAATAAAACTTTTAAAAGGACACACGTTAGTCACAGTCAAACAATTGGGGTCAGTTGTAATGTATTATGATTTTGTATCGTTTGCTTGTTGATGTAGTTTTGTAATGTTTGCTCGTCCTTCCCTCATCCCCTTCTGCCCTCATCTGGGCATGGTAATAAGAGAGCCCAGGTGCTCCCTCTTTTGGCATTAGCCAAAACCTCAAACCACATGTGGAAATCCTCACCCTGGTCCCACACTCTCTCTCCAATATCAAAACCCAAGACAGTCTTTTTTCCTTGCTCTCGCTAGTAATTTCAAACCTTCTGGGAGCACCTCTGCTCTCCCCACTGAGAGTCTCACTGTATGTGCAATAAATGCTTTCATGTTTCCTTGGAGCATGTGGAGGTCATCCGTCTCAACATCTGCGTCACTGAATCTTAGGTAAGTTCCACTTTGTTTCTGAGAGATGGCTACGACACAGCCGATATCCTTGACTCCTAACTCCTGCCAATAGCAGGCCTATTTTTCCCGGCCATGTTGCAGGAGGGCATTGTTTCCACCCTGATCCTAGACAGATTTACTTCATTGGACGCTTTCATGCCCATTACCTGTGCCTCACTGATGTCGACTCAGGTTAGAATTGCTGTTCTAATATAAATGTGATTATGGGACCTTTAAAAAAAATACACTGCCATATTTTTGGCTTTCTAGACCATCTGCAGTAGGTAATTGTGTGCTTTTTGTTGTAAGACTATCCAGCCATGGCCCAAGAGTCAACGTGTCATGTTCTCTGATATTCACAGGGTTTCGTTATTATGGATCACCAGAATGGCCTCTCCAAACATCAATGCAAATATATTTCTACCTCTGCCTCCCTTATACTCACAGGGTCCACATGTCATATTAAGGCAGTTTTTTTCACTGAATATAGTTGCCTCCAGAAAAAAGTTTATCTCCTTTAGTCTGTCTCTTGGATAATGTTAAGGATGAAGGATATAAGGATGTACATAGAAATACTTGGAAATTTGTTTCCAGCCCTGGTACATCCTTCTTCCCCCTGGCAGCAATGCCATGTGAACCTGCCGCCCTATGTCTTCTGGGTGGAGGCCCAGGTGAAAGGGGCCCAAAGGATTCTTAATTCATTTTCGTTCAGCCACCAGGGTTCTCTCATTCAGTTTACACGGACTTCAGTCATGATGGCACTGGCTATTCCATGGAGAGCACTGCTTCCTGAGTTACACTATGGTTGCCCACTTGGGCCAACATGAGAAATAAAATGAGTCTCTGTAACTTTTATAGAATCAGTGTTACCCCACTAACACCTGATGCCCCTGGACAAAAGGTATAGGTTTGAGTAGAGGCTGTTTGGAAAAGAGGTGAATTTATAACATTGGGATGGGACATACCTCTCTTGTGCCACGGAAGGAGAGCAACTGCAATACCTGGGGAGGGAACTCCTTAGACACCTTGCAAGAAATGAGATGGTTAATACTCTTTGTTACCTAGACAGAGCACTGCAGCCTG